TCACAGGTGGAAGCAGATGCTCTGAATTCCAACCTGGCAGAAAACAGAAAGAACAACAAGACAATGGAGGTATTCCACCACTGTTCGGATGAGTTGCAGACGGTAGAGTGTGAGGTTTCAAGTGGAGATGGCCCTGAATTGTGGATGGTGATGATGAAGGAGTTACAGAAGATGAAAGATTGGAGGAAGTGCAAAAAGGAAGAGAGTCATCCTCCAAGAGAATGAGAACCACCTCTGTAACCACAGAATCCGCAGAATGACTCTCCTTTCACTGCTCCAGAAAGGCCCCAACAACAACCCAGCTTGTCCTGTGAAAGAGGATAGCCAAAGTGATGGACAACAAAACGCCAAAGGCAAAGCAGCTGAAACTGAAAGCTCCAAAAAAGGTGGCATATCCTCCTCATTATTAGCTGTTATAGAGCAGCTCAGAGAAAGATCTAGAGAACGTGAATCACTGGAAGATGATTCAATACTTCCACAAAAGAGGGGCACAAAGAGGAAAATCAAAAGGGAATCGAGGAAGATATCAGTGTGTGGAAAGTATGGATAATGTGGAAAAGACAGAAGACTCAAAATACAGATGCAAACTATGCCACTATTCTCACTTGGACTCTTTTATGATAAGACAACATATGAGGCTTCACAAGGAAAAGAAGCCATTTGAGTGTTCACTGTGCGAGTTCATTGCCATTTCAAGTGAAGATCTACAAGACCACATGATAAAACACTGCAAAGTTAGAACCTACCAATGCAAGTTGTGCAGCTCAGCATTTAACTACAAGAGTCAGTTGCGAGCACATATGCGTGCCCATAATGATAAAGACATTTTTGTTTGCGATGATTGCGATTATGAAAGTAACAATCCAGTCGCCTATCGGAATCATGTTCGAGGGCATGCAGAAAAGAAATTGTACAAATGTGAAGTCTGTGAAAATCGTTTTGTTTCAAAACATGATCTACGAACTCATAAAAAGCTCTTGTGTGGAAAGAACAGATCATTTAGTTGTGATGAGTGTGACTTTGTCGCCATAGGTCCTCAAGAACAACGCACTCATGCTAAGGTACACAACAAGGAATTCAAGTGTGCAAAGTGTGAGTATGTTACAACTAGCATTACCCGATTTCAAAGCCACACAAAAACTCATGATGAGGAACCTAAATCCCTGAAATGCGAGCTATGTGACTTCCCTGCAGTTTCCAGTAGAAGCTTAAAGTCTCACATGAAACGTCACATCAACGACCAACGCTTCGTTCAGCAGCCACTGGAGCAGTACAAATGTAACTTGTGTGGCTATGTTTGTCACCACTTGCCTTCCTTGAAGTCCCACATGTGGCGCCATGCCAGTGATACCAACTATAGTTATGAGTTCACCAATGAAGTGATCAATGCAGCAATTGATTATGATTGTCAGAAATCAAAAGTACAGACTACCAAGAAATCGATATAGCAGCATTCTTTAACACGATTAAACAAAAATTATTTGAAAGAGAGGCTAAGGAAAAGGAAGAACAAGATACGGATAATGAGCGTGCGAACCAAGCCGTGTGCTGGGTGACCTTCCGATGTTGTCAGTGTGGCTTTGAGACAATCAATAAAGCGGAGCTGAACTTGCACATGAAAAGTCATTCTGATGTCATTCAGTGGACACTTTAGGTGCCCCCAAAGAAATGTAAAAAAAATCTGATGTTCATTAAACAGACATGTGTATTGATAGTTGAGATGTCTGCTATCATAACTTGATAGATACGGGTATTTGTGGGGTTTTAGTGAATCAGGAGTCATGGCATTGTCATCAAGTTTTAACACATGTAAATGTAGAAGTTTGTTATAGTATGTTAATATCTAGGGGTTAAGATCTATATTTGAATTTTTTGGCAGCCATAGTATCTGAGGAAGATAGCATAATTTTATTTTACTTAGCATCCATTATTAGGTTTCTGTGTTTAATATCTGTCATTGTTACATGGTTCCCATTTTGGAATTATCTTCATGCATATCTTAAACAGGAAGTATATTTATGGTGGACTTTGAGTGTTCCTACTTCTTACTATCACGAACCTGCCGGTAATCATTATCATATCTGTATGATGTAATGTTAATGTGTATTTGGGGATGGATGAAATAGATCTCTAGCTTTTTTTGTTTTATCTTTGTTTTGTTTTTTAGATTATTTTGTTCTGCCTGAGGTTGTGAATCTGTGAATAGGTGTATGTGTATTTCAGTTAAAGAAATGTGTGGGAGGGGCTGTTATAAGTACCATTTATTTGTATGTACCTTGTAAATGACTAAATGATGCCTTGGTCATGACACTGATCAGCTGTTTACCTACCCCCACATCACTTACATCTTGTCTTCTTGTCAAGAATTCCTCGATGCACAGTCAAGTTTTTTTTCTCCGAGAAAACTAGCACTTTACAGTTTACAGTTACTACAAGTAGTTATAGAGATATTGAAAATTGGCCTTGTTTGAATCTCATTTGTTTTTGCTATGTAAGTTTCCTTTTTATAACTTTTATATTTCATGTATTTTTGATTGTGCAGCTATTTGAAGTAATTAAATGAGAAAGATATTTACTGGAATACGATGTAGATAGGGGCTTACATTTTACATGTATAATATGAACTTGTTTTTTGTTACCTATTTTGTCCATTATGTGTAATTTTCAAACATAATCCTTATGAAAATGAATAGATTATTGAGTGTGAAATATTTTAGGATTTGTTTAATACAGGATGCGTTTGTTAGTGCTTAATTATAGCATGTTCTTTAATCTGTAGAGGACCCTGCTTTTAGATTTGATGAAATAAATTGAATGTAAAATTTCTTAATATTATTGTTATTAAAAAATGTTTTCCTGTTTTTTGCTATTTGTTAATGACGTAGTTGCGAATATAGAACTACTTTAAAAGTATAATGGCAGCGGATACGCATGCATATGTAAAATGCATTTGATATGCTAGTATAACCGTAACAGCACGAAAGACATATAGGGACTCTGCAACAACAACAAAAATCAATTGGAGGGAAATATAGCCGACAAAACCATTTATGAGTCTTTTCTAATCATGACAAGGAGCACACGACGGATGTGACCGGCCGGCAGAGCACATGACAAGGAGCACACGACGGATGTGACCGGCCGGCAGAGGGTGCTCAGTCCTCCATGGCACCTGATCCCACTTCTGATGTTTCGGAGGTCAGTGTTTGCTCTGCTCTTATTAGCTCACCTGAGCCGAAGGCAGCAGGAAGCATCCTCAGGTGGTGTAGATTCAAGTTTGTTCAAATCATTACCCCCGGGGGTAGGGCGGGGCCAAAATGGCCGACTAAAGTTTTACATAGAAATATATAGGAAAATTCTTTAAAAATCTTCTCAAGAATAACAAAGCCATGATTGATCATATCTATATGGAAGCATCCTCAGGTAGTGTAGATTCAAGTTTGTTCAAATCATGACCCCCGGGGGTAGGGCAGGCCCACAATGGCCGACCAAAGTTTTACATAGAAATATATAGGAAAATTCTTTAAAAATCTTCTTTTCAAGAATAACAAAGCCATGATTGATCATATTTATATGGAAGCATCCTCAGGTAGTGTAGATTCAAGTTTGTTCAAATCATGACCCCCAGGGGTAGGGCGGGGCCACAATGGCCGATCAAAGTTTTACATAGAAATATATAGGAAAATTCTTTAAAAATCTTCTTCTCAAGAATAACAAAGCCATGATTGATCATATTTATATGGAAGCATCCTCAGGTAATGTAGATTCAAGTTTGTTCAAATCATGACCCCCAGGGGTAGGGCGGGGCCACAATGGCTGATCAAAGTTTTACATAGAAATATATAGGAAAATTCTTTAAAAATCTTCTTCTCAAGAACAACAAAGCCATGATTGGTTATATTTGTAAGGAAGCATCCTCGGTTAGTGTAGATTCAAGTTTGTTCAAATCATGTCCCTCGGGGGTAGGGTGGGGATGGCCGACCAAAGTTTTAAATAGAAATATATAGGAAAATTCTTTAAAAATCATCTTCTCAAGAATAGCAGAACAATAACTGGTCAAAGGTTTACTTTTGGATTTAAACTTTTCAATAATAAAACCAATTTCTACTTTTTCTTAGCCACAGTGCTCAGGTGAGCGATGTGGCCCATGGGCCTCTTGTTTTGTATTGTTTTAAGGACTTGGATATTGAATACTGTTCGTTATCCCCATATCCTTGTTCACAAACACCGTAATTTGATGAAGAAAATGACTAAGGAGTCCTTTACTGGCTATATAAGCGTAACAGGAAAAAAGAAAGGTATGGCTCACTGGGAATCGAACCCAAGACCCATTATCAACTACATGTACATCTATAGTCAGTTGCGTTAAACCCTGAACCTCCCTAACCAGGCCAATATCCACGAACCAAACCACTACATCAGGAAGGAGATCAAACACATTTTTTAACAGTTTTGCGACTCTTGGTTATAATTCTCAGCTCTGAAGTTTAAGGGGAAAAAACACTGATTAAAAAAAAATCGTGTTTCTCATTAGATGAAAATATTGAATAATATTTCTAAGCTTCGTGATCCTGGGGCTCGCTTACATGGAAAGCCAGTGCGTTATGAACTTCATTGTGGGCCATTTCCCAACTGAAGGAGATCTGTTTTTCAGACTTGCTGCAGATTTCTTTACAACACTATTTTATCCACCTAACGTTTAATAAAATCGTATTAATGACTTCATTGTTTCAAAGACAAGATCATCCCAACTGCATGACAGCCTATTGACAAATGATCATTTGGGTCCTTTGTAATAACTTTCCTGTTATAAATGGCATTGTTACTACAATTTCACTATTCACTAAATGGGTTTGCACTTGCTTTACGCTTTGCAATTATCTTGCACATATTAGGTTTACAGTATCAACGTTATAAAGCTCAGCTTGATGTCAGGGGGTTGATATTGTGGCAAAGGTATTTCACAATAAGTGTCTTATTCTAAAAGAAAAGTGGTAGGTATAAATTATTAATATCAGTAAGATCTGGCATCAGACAAAATGCTCTGCCCAGCTTTATTACTTCTCTTTGTTAGTTTTACTTATACTGGTAAGTAATATTTTTGCTGCTGTGCTGACGTGTATTGATGAAATCTGTAGGATTTTTTTTAAAAAAATTGTTAGGTTAATGTAAAGAATTTTCATTTGTATTACTTAATTTTTTTTATGTACTATTTTAATTGCATGACAAATAGTTATACACGTACATGTATTTAATTAAGAAGAGAAACTCATAAGTTGAAAGAACATGTTTCCAATCTTTTTGATTTATTCGATTAAATATTTTTTAACGAAAAAGTAATATTTTCGCTGCGAATAAAAAATCAAGTTTTATTAGTTGATCTGTTGAAAAATAAAAGTAAGACTCGGAAGAGGTAAAGAATTTAGAATCAAGTACTCGAAATAAAACTCACATTCGATGTAATTTATTTTAGAAATACTCAGTATTTGGGCAAATAACTTTTAAAATTGCAATTCAGAATAGTATTTTAAAATTGTTTTTAAAAAAGAGAATTAATTAATATTCAAAATATCAAGTCGAATCCTGTGCCAATGAGAAGTAAGCATCCGATATGGACCTGTCAAACCTTTCGTTTTCTACTTGTGCTGATTGGATAAAAAGAAATAATTCGTATACGGTGCCGTGTGAAAATTTGCATGAAAAATCAGTTCATTCCACTTAATAATACATGTAGATTGTATTTGCTAACATCAAATTATCGACCTATTGATCCTTGAAAAATAAGCTGACTTTAAACGAGACTGCTGATATCCTTGTTTCATCTCTTATTTTTCAGTAGCTTGTCTCATAAATTGTTCGTACGTATGACATGTTTTTACGAAGCGACAATAGGGGAGAAAAGGGGGGGGGGTTAAACTCCATACGGAGATGATAAATGTATTATATTGCTTTATAAAGAAGGGGGCCTGCATGACAATTTCTATTTTGAGCTCAAAGGTTTAATCAAGAAAACTAAACGAATTTTAGGTAAACTTAAAACATGAGAAATCAAATTCAAAAATTCAATTTAAAAAAACATTATTATTTTATTTTTATATTCTTTCTAGGTATCATAGTTATGTATAGAGGAATAAAACATTAAAGTATTGAAGATTCTTTTGGCTTTTGGATTCTTTAAAAATAACTTATATCTAAAAATTCAAAAACAGATGACGTGTACAGATTTCATCATTTCTCCGATGAGTTTGAATTCCACAGTATAAAGCTGTCTTGGTTTGATGCTAATACTTACTGCCAAATAAGATTCGGTCATCTGGTCACGGTGGAGAATGCCAGCACTCAAGATTTGTTATGGACAGTGTTCTTGAACCGACCTGAAGTGATCTATGAGGATTATTGGATCGGGTTACATAAGGCGCAGTCTGGGCCCTGGAGGTGGACAGGCGGTAGAGTATCATATGTGACATCATGTAGTATACGAAGTGATCAATTTTAAGAAATGTATCAGATTCATTCATAAATTTTCAGTCATCTCTTTAACCAAATGAAATATAAAATTTTAACAATTTAAACAGGGTTGTAGGATGAAATTTAAAAAAAAACATATACTGGTTAAAAAAAAATACAAACATATTTGATTGTAGGCTTTTAAAATCATCATTCGAACAAACTACATGTAGATTATGTACATGTAACTATATATCAAGAATGTTTCTTTGAAAAATTTTATTGCAGGTTGCGTTCCTAGTTCAGTCTAAATTTTTTCATAGATCAAATATTCATCTACAACAATTGGTTTTATCGCCCAAAACAAGTTTCCAATAGTCCACTTTGTGCGAAAATGATTGCTGTAGAAAGACTAGGTTGGACGCACAGTGATTGTATTGAAAGGAACGGATTTATATGTCAATATCGTAAGTATGAAACTACCGGCATACCCGTTGTATAACCACTATTCGATGCCTTCTGAAGAGGAGGCATAAATTTTATGTCTTCAAAGTTTCGCCGGGGGGGGGGGGGGGGGGGGGGGGGGGGCCACAAACAGAACCGGAAGGGGGGTGTTCTTTAGTAAAATTGTTTATACAGAGTTTTCGTTCCCGCTTCTCTCCCACATGACATACACATGTTGTGAGCGTAGCGGAAGGCAACTCTGGATAGAGAATGCTGTACTAGAATATTAAGCTATTGCGCGCATCTCACTTTTTTTCATTGAACAACAGCGATAGTTTTCTTTTCCCTCTTGAAGTTTTAAAATTACATGTAATTTTACTTCATACGCAAACAGGTGCATAGCTAGTTCCCATCGTAATTCCAACAGAATGTTCGAAGACATATAGGCTCGACAGACTACATCGATATTTCAAAATGGAACTCGATTAATTTTGTAGGTGACCAATCAAAAGATATAAAAATTTTAGAGTTACACAATTATTGAAGAAGTAGCTAGTAGTCTGTTTT